TCCCTCCCCCAAGCTGACCTCCCTCCCCCAAGCTGCATAGAGTCATGGCCGTCTAGCCCTTTTTGTTTCACAAGCTTTACGTTGGAGGCGAGGATTGTGAAAACTTTTTAGAGGTAAGGAGGGGTAGATGTGGTTGTTCCTCAACAGTGTTACTGCATTTCGTTTGCTACAAATATGTCTGTCCCCCCCCCCCCCCCCCCGCCCCCCAGATATAGGTATAGCTACAGAAAGTGAGTCTGTAGGCTTCAGCGTGGCTATTGTGCTGCAAAGTTAGCCTTATTCATCCACAAAGACCATCACTTGGCAAATTGCAAACAAAAGCCAATCAGGTTAAGGCTACCAGGGAGGTTGGGGTCACAGTCAGCTCTTTTACTGCTAAACCCGCCTCGTGGTTTCGGCGAGTGGGTGGTACGGCAGCAATTCATGTCCGACGAGAAGACAGCGAATGTTTTTTTTTTTTTCTTTAATTTGGTGGTACTTAAATAACCTGATAACCTGACTGGAGGTCGTCCCTGCCCAATCAAATCCCTGATGCTGTTAATAGCAACACTCAAAAACGCGCAATGCTATAAGACAGAAGCGACCGACAGGATCTTCGCCATCACACAATGATGAACGTTAAAACGAGAAATGTAGCGTTTAGTAATCCGTGATCGGAATCTGTATCGAACAAAAAAAAAAGAATGAAGGCGATGGACCAGCGATAGAACAGTCTGGAATACGACTTTTATGACTTTTTTTTTCTTAAGGTGTAACGGAAACATGAACACGGCGTTACCTAGAACGTTAAATAAGCTTCTGGTGGTTTCGTAATGGCCGACGGCGGCTGCCTGGCCAACATTTATCCACTACCATTCTTTCAAATTCTTTCGTAGTACCTGCACAGTTTTTGTTTACAAAAAAAAAAAAAAAAAAAATAAGAAGGAACCTGACTGGCTGTAGTCTGTCACTTGCTCAGTAGTGAGAGCCTGCTTGACTTTGTCCTAAATAAGGCTAACATTAGTGAACTAAGAGAAACAGCATTTGGTTGGAGGTTGTGGCACTCAGGAACACCCTTCGCCGATGCGTTGGCAGGACCTGCCCACTTTGCGGTCTAGTTTCACCATCTTCATAATGGCCTCCTCGCGTCCGCGACCCATGTGGTCGAATGTGCAGTCGTGCTGTTCCGGTAGGCGATGTAACATACAGAACACGTAACCTGCGGGAGGCAAAAAGATAGGAGGGTCAGAACACAGACGTAGGTTTGATCAGTGAAATTAGGCACACATACAATAAAAGGTACGAGGGTTTGTGAGGACCAGCTAAGCTCTGCCTGAACCTGTGTGCTCAACATGGCTTGAATGGGGGGGCCAGAAGGCCCTTTTCATTCCCATTTTCAGGGTTTATGGAGGACTATAAGTTATTGTAATGTAAAGCTATGTGACCGTTTGTCAAGTTCAGAGAGAAGCCCATGTGTAAGATGCATTTCCTAATGTGTTCCTCACAGATTGGCACAGGTGTAGACCTCAGGAGTTCTGTCCAGAAGAGTCTAAAACTATAACAGGGTGGGTGGGCACAGCCAGAGGCAGATGGACCCAGCAGCTTCTTACAAGCCCATGTACACCAGGCAAGCATTGGGTTCCAGATATAATTTATTGTTTCACTATATTTGTTAGAAAGCCAAAACCTTTCAGGATTTCTGAGTAACCCCCTTCATCAGGTCCCTATATGTTGGACAACATAAGGCCCTGTGTAGGCTGGTTATTCTGGTCTGATGGTGACACGCTAATACTGATATGTTGTTAAAGGGAATCTGTCTAGATCACAGTTGTCAAACTGGCGGCCCTCCAGCTGTTGCCAAACTACAAGTCCCATGACGCATTGCAAGATTGACAGTTACAAGCATGACTTCCAAAGGCAGAGGCATGATGGGACTTGTAGTTTCGCAACAGCTGGAGGGCCGCCAGTTTGACACCCCTGGTCTAGATGGAAACATATCACATGTATAGGAAGCAGAGTGCCAAGTAAGCATTGGGTTCCAGATATGATTTATTGTTCGCAATATTTCTTAGAAAGTCAACAGGTTTTGAGATTTCTGAGTAGCCCCTTGATCAGGTCTTTAATTGTTGGACCACAGAAGGCCATGTGTAGGACATGTTTGCATACCTTCCTCACATTCTGGCAGAAATCCTGCCCTGTAGGACTGATGAACCTTAAAGCAGAGATTGGGGGGCACAGCCAAAGGCAGATGGGCCCAGTAGCTCCCCACAAGCCCACGTACATCTAATAATGTAAACACCATAGTGTAAGACCCACAGAAACCAAACCCCAATCTTCTATTCTGGTCTGATGGCGATACACGCTGTCACTGACCTGTTGTTAAAGGGAATCTGTCCAGATGACGCTATATCACAATTATAGGATGGATAATGCCAAGTAATCAGATATAATTTATTATGAAAACTATAGATAATTATCCGCGCTCTAACATTACCTTGCCTGTGCTATATATAATATATTATGGCAATACCATTAATTCATATATACTATAGTTCTATATTTTAATCTGCTTTTTACCTGAAATGCCTAGATTAATTCTATTATGATATCCTAGTGTTTAATAAAATCTAAAAATGTGTAATTCAATTAAATTATAATATATATATAATGTGATTATTTCATTAAATCAATCAATAAAATTCACTGCGTCAGTGTGCAAATAAACTGAATATAAATAAATAAAAATATTGTGTAAATTCATATAATCCAATGTGCAAAACAAGCCATCAATGATACATATGTTAATGAAATATAAATATATGAAATTAATATAAATAAAAAATATCAATTTATGAAAATAATATAAATAATTAAAAAAATATATCAATTCATAAAGTTCAGCAGCAAAAAAATGTGCAAAAACGTGCAAAAAGAAAAATGTGCAAAAAAGTTTTGAGGATTCAGTAGGGAGAAGATATTGATGATATACTCTCCTTCATAAATTGCTTCTATTGATGTAGATGAGAGCCTGCAGACTATCTCCTAAGTCTGTGTGGATGTGAGATTTTCTCCCTCCTAGAGCCTCTCCTTACTTCAATGCTCAATGTCTCCTCATATGACCCATGGAAGAGAGAAGATAAAAAGATATGGTGCCTTATCCAAGGTATAACTAACACTATTTATTGTGCTCCCACTATGCACTCACATGGTAATAATAAACAACTCGCATGTAAAATTGAAACCGCCAGCTGCGGTATTGCTCAGCCTCTCGAGAGTGTAAACACACTCTGTCAATACTCGCCGTATTGTCAGTCCGGTACGTGGTGACGTCACTGCCCCTCCCCAACGCGTTGCGCCACAGGGAAAAACGTAGCTTCCCATGGGTCATATGTAGATGGGTCATATGAGGAGACATTGAGCATTGAAGTAAGGAGAGGCTCTAGGAGGGAGAAAAAATCTCACATCCACACAGACTTAGGAGATAGTCTGCAGGCTCTCATCTACATCAATAGAAGTAATTTATAAAGGAGAGTAGTATATCATCAATATCTTCTCCCTACTGAATCCTCAAAACTTTTTTGCACATTTTTCTTTTTGCACGTTTTTGCACATTTTTTTGCTGCTGAACTTTATGAATTGATATATTTTTTTAATTATTTATATTATTTTCATAAAATGATATTTTTTTATTTATATTAATTTCATATATTTATATTTCATTAACATATATATAATTGATGGCTTGTTTTGCACATTGGATTATATGAATTTACACAATATTTTTATTTATTTATATTCAGTTTATTTGCACACTGACACAGTGAATTTTATTGATTGATTTAATGAAATAATCACATTATATAAATATTATAATTTGATTTAATTACACATTTTTAGATTTTATTAAACACTGGGATATCATAATAGAATTAATCTAGGCAATTCAGGTAAAAAGCAGATTAAAATATAGAACTATAGTATATATGAATTAATGGTATTGCCATAATATATTATATATAGCACAGGCAAGGAGTAATGTTAGAGCGCGGATAATTATCTATAGTTTTCATAGTATTCACATCTTATGAGAGTGAGAAATAATTGCAGCGATCTAATATATATATTTTTAACTCCAGTGGCTCACAAGTTTATCTCAATAATATTCAGATATAATTTATTGTTTGCAATATTTGTTAGAAAGTCAACAGGTTTCGAGATTTCTGAGTAACCCCCTTCATCAGGTCTCTAAATGTTGGACATCGAAAGACCACATGTAGGATGTGTTTACATGCCTTCCTCACATTCTGGCACAAGTGACCAGAAATCCTGCCCAGTAGGATTGATGAACCCTAAAAGCAGAGAGAGGGAGGCACAGCCAGAGGCAGATGGGCCCATAGCTCCTCACAAGCCCATGTACATCTAACACTGTAATCAGCATAGTGTAAAAGGAAGAACACACAGAAAACAAACCCCAATTTTATATTCTGGTCTGAAGGCGATACACGCTGTCACTGACATGTTGTTAGAGGGAATCTGTTCAGATGAAGATAAATCACAAATATAGGAAGTATAACACCAGATAAGCATTGAGTTCAAGATATCATTTATTATTCACAATATTTGTTAGAAAGTCAACATGTTTCAAGATTTCTGAGTAACCCACTTCATCAGTTCTCTAAATGTTGGACATCAGCAGGCCACATGGAGGACGTGTTTACATGCCTTCCTTACATTCTAGCACAAGTGACCAGGAGTCCTGTCCAGTAGGATTGATGAACCCTGAAAGCAGAGGGTAGGGGGAAAAGCAAAGGCAGATAGGCCCAACACCTCCTTACAAAATCCCATGTACCTCTAATACTGTAATCATCATAGTGGAAGTGGAAGAGTCCACAGAAACCATATACCAATCTTCTACTTTGGTCTGATGGTGACACATTACATACCAACACTGACATGTTGTTAACACTGACCACCAATGTAAGAAGCATTCTTCCCACTGACAACCAATGTAAGGGCCATTCTTCCCATTGATCACCAATGTAAGGGACATTCTTCCCACTGACCACCAATGTAAGGGACATTCTTCCCACTGACCCCCAATGTAAGGGACATTCTTCCCACTGACAACCAATGTAAGAAGCATTCTTCCCACTGACAACCAATGTAAGGACTATTCTTCCCACTGACAACCAATGTAAGAAGCATTCTTCCCACTGACAACCAATGTAAGAAGCATTCTTCCCACTGACAACCAATGTAAGGGCCATTCAATGTTCTTCCCACTGATCACCAATGTAAGGGCCATTCTTCCCATTGATCACCAATGTAAGGGCCATTCTTCCCACTGACAACCAATGTAAGGGACATTCTTCCCACTGACAACCAATGTAAGGGCTATTCTTCCCAATGACAACCAATGTAAGAAGCATTCTTCCCACTGACAACTAATGTAAGGGCCATTCTACCCAATGACCACCAATGTAAGGAGCATTCTTCCCACTGACCCCCAATGTAAGGGCCATTCTACCCACTGACCATCAATGTAGGGACATTCTTCCCTGACCACATGACCAATGTAAGGGCCATTCTTCCCACTGACCCCCAATGTAAGGGCCATTCTCTACCCACTGACCATCAATGTAAGGGCCATTCTTCCCAATGACAACCAATGTAAGGGCCATTCTTCCCACTGACCCCCAATGTAAGGGCCATTTCCCACTGACCATCAATGTAAGGGACATTCTTTCCCACTGACCACCAATGTAAGGGCCATTCTTCCCACTGACAACCAATGTAAGGGCCATTCTTCCCAATGACAACCAATGTAAGGGCCATTCTTCCCATGACAACCAATGTAAGGGCATTGTTCCCACTGATCACCAATGTAAAGGACATTCTTCCCACTGACCCCAATGTAAGGGCATTCTTCCCAATGACAACCAATGTAAGGACCATTCAAAGTAAGGAGTATTCTTCCACACTGACAACCAATGTAAGGGACATTCTTCCCACTGACAACCAATATAAGAAGCATTCTTCCCACTGACAACCAATGTAAGGGCCATTCTACCACTGACCATCAATGTAAAGGACATTCTTCCCACTGACCACCAATGTAAGGGACATTCTTCCCAATGACAACCAATGTAAGGGCCATTCTTCCAATGACCACCAATGTAAGGGACATTCTTCCCAATGACAACCAATGTAAGGGACATTCTTCCCACTGATCACCAAAGTAAGGAGCATTCTTCCCACTGACCACCAATGTAAGGGCCATTCTTCCCAATGACAACCAATGTAAGGAGCATTCTTCCCACTGACCACCAAAGTAAAGGGACATTCTTCCCACTGACCACCAATGTAAGGAGCATTCTTCCCACTGACCACCAATGTAGGGGAGCATTCTTCCCACTGATCACCAATGTAAGGGACATTCTTCCCACTGACCCCCAATGTAAGGGACATTCTTCCCACTGATCACCAATGTAAGGGACATTCTTCCCACTGACCAACCAATGTAAGGAGCATTCTTCCCACTGACCACCAATGTAAGGAGCATTCTTCCCACTGACACCAATGTAAGGGACGTTCTTCCCCCAGACTATTAAAGAATTGGTTTTATCAGGAGTTCCCTAAGATGTAAAAATTATTTCAATGGTTCCTCTGGGGCAAAAAGGTTGAGAAAAGGCTGCTCTAGACAGATACATATGAAAAGCAGAGGAAGAAGAGCACCAGAAAAGGGTTCCAGATATATTATTCTTGGTATCCGTTAAAAATCCAACGTTTCAAGACTTTTGAGTAACTCCCTTCACTGGGGCTGAACAGAAGGTCATTTTGTCAAGCACACAATGTGTAGAGGAACGATTCTTGTTTCATTCGCTGGTTTACCATCAGCTAAATGTGTTGGATTTTAACCACTTCAAGTCTGGACACTTTTACCCCCTCCCTGACCAGGGCAATTTTCAGCTTTCAGCGCTATCACGCTTTGAATGACAATTGCGCGGTCATGCAACACTGTACCCAAATTAATTTTTTACCATTTTTTTGAGACAGATAAAGCTTTATTTTGGTGGTATTTATTCACCGCTGGGATTATTTTTTTTGCTATGTAAATGAAAAAGTCCAAAAATTTTGAAAAAAAGTGTTTTTTTTATAAAATTTTACAAATAAATAATATTTCATCATAAATCTTTGCCGAAATTTATTCCGTTATCTTTTTAGTAAAAAAAAAAAAATCCAAATTAGTTTATAACAAAAATTATAATTTTTAAACATTTTTTTTTTACATTTTTTTTTTTTTTTATATTATTATTTTTTATTTTTATTTTATTTTTTTACATACTGTCACCCTAGCAGTACAGTGTCACCATGGTGACACTGTACTACTTGTGGCGGGGTGAAAAAGATTTTTTTTTTTTTTTTTTTTACACATTGCTTTTACACCCATATAGGATGTAAAAGCAATCATTTCTCTTTCTCTCTGGCTGCATTCTTGCACTCATTGAGAAGTACTGAGTGAGCTGTGATTGGTCACAACTTGTCACATGGTACAAGCCTGTTGTGAATAGCCCTGTACCATGTGACCTCTGTGATCATTCACAGATTTCACACATAGTAAGCAATGATGTCACAAGTGACATGTTGCTTACTACTTTGCATGTGATCACTGATTGGCCAATCAGTGATCACATGATCGGGACCTTGTACAGAGGTCCCGTCCGACGATCGGTGTTTCACTGTGTCCAGAGGACACAGCGGGCACCGGATCGCGGTGTTGCGCGCTCCCAGGGAGCGCACACAAGCAGGGTGCGGGGAGGTCGTTTATAAACGGCCACTAGACCCTGTACTGCCACCGTCCGGCCGTTTATATGCAACGGCCGGTCTGGAAGTGGTTAATGGATACTGTTCAAAATAATTTATATCTGGACTCCAGATACTTGTCTGGTACTTACAGTATTTCTGATATATCGATCCAAGGGCCGAATGAGGGCCCTTGCATACATAAGAGCTGCCTGAAGATCATGTCGGAAATGGCAGCCACCATACTTCTACGTGAGCAGGTCCAATGTGAAGTACACCAACACCCAGAAGTGATATTTCAGAGTTGTGTGGGACTGTGTTGAAGAGAAAACTTAAAAAAAAAAACAATTTAAAGTTTCACCTTCCATGACAAGTTGCCTCCCATCCACCCCTGCTCCCCTCCGGTGTACAAATCAGGCTTTATTTTTTTTCTTTATTTCTATTTGTTTTTTTAATATATTATTATTAGCCTAGGTGGCCTATCAGCCATCACACTGACCTAGGTGAACCATCAGTGAGAAAGAGGGGCGGGCCCCAGTAGCGCATCATCGGGAGAGCTGGCAGACGTCACTGAAGAAGATGGCGGCGCAGTACTGAGGGCGGAGCAGAAGAAAGGTGGATCCCAGCAGGACAATGCTGGATCCGCTTGGTGGGTGAGTGCCTCAACTGTGCAGTTCTGGCAACAAGGTAAGTGGGGGTTGCAAAAAATAAAAAAATTGGCGGGTGGGTTGGTTTGGGTTTAGTGAAGATCCACTATAGATCCACTATAGAAAATCAGGTTCTTCTTCAGATGTCATCGGGAAGCTACTGACTCTCCTGATGATGCGCCACTAGGTCCGCCTCCCTCCTCCTTTCTCAATGGACTAAGCCTCTTGGGATATGTGATATACGTATCTCAGGAGGCTTAGTCCTTCACTGAGGAAGGAGGAGGGGCGGGCCTAGTGGCGCATCATCAGTAGAGCCGGCAGCTTCCCGATGACGTCACCAAAGATGGAGAGGTGGGGACTGAGCCGAGGCAGAAGAGAATCGAATCTCAGCAGGACAACGCCGAATCCTGCTGCGCGGGTGTTTTCACTGTGCAGGACTGGCAACAAGGTAAGTGGGGATTTAAAAAAAAAAATTGACTGTTATTGACATCTTGTCATCCATCAGCCTTTGCTTTAAAGCTGAAATGCGGGATAAGCAAGAATTATCGAAATCGATTGGTCATGTGGATTCTTCTTGAATCTCGGTGAGCTTTGTGTATTTCCTCCAGATCTGTGCCGTAATCCAGGGTGAGACTTCCTGTAATACAGACCGCTCACTGCTGCTCTCTCTCCTTGTGCAGGGTGACTGGTCTTGACTACGCCCCCTCCTGTTTTCTTCCGCAGGCAGCTTGTAGTGGGTGGAACTGCTAAGCCCCTCCCATAGTTGATCTCTTTCCTTGTGCAGGATGAATGGTCTTGTCCCCATCCCCTTCTTTAGTTTTCTGTAGTGGGTGGAGCCTGCTGGGCCTCTCCACAGCTCTCCTGTCTATCCTTGTGTAAGGTGACTGGTCTCGTCTCCGCCCCCTCCTGTAGCAGGTGGAGCCTGCTGGGCGCCTCCCACAGCTCTCCTGTCTCTCCTTGTGCAGGGTGACCAGTCTCATGTCCGCCCCCCTCCTGTAGCAGGTGGAGCCTGCTGGGCTCCTCCCACAGCTTTCCTGTCTTTCCTTGTATAGGGTGACTGGTCTGGTCTCTGCCCCCTCCTGTAGCAGGTGGAGCCTGCTGGGCGCCTCCCACAGCTCTCCTGTCTCTCCTTGTGCAGGGTGACCAGTCTCATGTCCGCCCCACTCCTGTAGCAGGTGGAGCCTGCTGGGCTCTTCCCACAGCTCTCCTGTCTCTCCTTGTGCATGGTGACTTGTCTCGTCTCTGCCCCCCTCCTGTAGCAGGAGGATCCTACTGGGCTCCTCCCACAGCTCTCCTGTCTCTCCTTATGCAGGGCTACTGGTCTCATCTCCACTCCCCTCCTGTAGCAGGTGGAGCCTGTTGGGCTCCTCCCACAGCTCTCCTTGTATAGGGTGACTGGTCTTGTCTCCTCCCCTTCCTGTAGCAGGTGGAGCCTACGGGGCTCCTCCCACAGCTCTCCTGTCTCTCCTTGTGCAGGGTGACTGGTCGCATCTCCACCCCCCTCCTGTAGCAGGTGGAGCCTGCAGGGCTCCTCCCACAGCTCTCCTGTCTCTCCTTGTGCAGGGTGACTGGTCGCATCTCCACCCCCCTCCTGTAGCAGGTGGAGCCTGCAGGGCTCCTCCCACAGCGTTGCTCTTTTACACAGGCTATGTACAGAACAGTGATGATGTCACTGCCACAATTACAAGGCAATATCTACAAGGCATTATCTGGGTTTGCAAAGACACGTGATACAAAGAAAAAACGGATTCATATTATTTGTGGCTATTGAGGAATATTTATAAAGTTTTTGTGTTTAGAATTCAGCTTTAAGTAATTAATAAAAGTGGTGAAAAAAAAAATCAATTTACAAATATACTAATCCGGGCCATGATATATAATATTTATAACTTGGAAACAATACTGAGCCTGAAAGGAATATGAATGGTAGGGAACCTCGTACATCTCAGCTCCGTAATACAAAATACCAACATGAAACAACAGCAAGGTCCACAAGTCCCTCCCCCTCAGGTGGGTGGGGTTAGTTGAGATTCCCAATATCAGCAGCAAAGTATCATTTGAGATCATTTTATGGAGTTTTATTCCAGGATTGGAGCAGAGGTGGGTGATCAGTATTTGACAGGCGGTGGGGGATGTACTGTACGATGCGGCTGGGCTCTGCTCGGTTGATGTCACAATAATGCCCAGTTATCTTACCAGAGCTGTGTATGGCATATCAATGACACTGGAGGGGGCCCAACAAGCAGGGCAATGCAATGTCAGATGCTAGGGGTGAAATACCCTCCACAAGGGGCAGCCTCATTGGATAACAGGAAGGTGCAGGAGCCAGGACTGGAAGGCCGCCCTTCAATACCTGCAATTGTAGATCCATAGAGACTGGAGAGGCTCCAGGCCTTAGAGGTCCGAAGGTGGTCCTTGTAGACTTCCTAGTACATGCAGATGACTCTGGATGTCCACACTTTACGCATAATGACGGAACTCAAGGAATTAGACCAAATCTACACTAGCAGTGCACCTCCCCCACACAGGCTCTCATCCAAGTGACTGGTCCAGTGGTGCTTCTCTAAAGTGCTCTCAGCCGTGGTCACCTGCATGCCTTCTCCATGTACAATGCAGCATGAACAGCCCTGCACTGTATGTGACCTCCTATAGACCCAGCTGTTGTACTTTCTGTCCCCATTTACAGCCCCCCTTGATTCTGCGCCCATACTGCCTCTACTGTAGAACATGTGATTTTGCACCCATTCTGCCCCTGCTTGCAGATCCTCTGATTCTGCGCTTATTCTACCCGTTTTTTTAGAGCCCCTGACTTTGCACCCATTCTATCTCTATTTGTGGACCTTTGAGTCTGCACCCATTCTGCTCTTATGCTAGACTCCCTGATTTTGCACCCCTTCTGACCCTATTTGAAGACCCTGATTCTGCACCCATTTTGCCCCTACTGTAGACCACTTGATTTTGAGCCCATTCCTTTCCTATTGTAGACCCACTGATCTTGCTCACATCTCCCTAATTCAGTGACAATTCTGTCCCTATTGTAGACCCCTGATTTTGCACCCATTCTGCCACTACTGTAGGATGCCCTTACTTTGAACTCATTCTGCCCCCAATATCATACCCCCTGATTCTGCATTCATTCTAACCCTATTATAGACCCCATTACATCCCTATTTTAGACCCCCTGATGTTGTACCAACTCTGCCACTGTTTGTATATCCCCTGATTTTGTACCCTCTCTGTCCCATTTTCAAACCCCCTGATTAATTCTGCCCCTATTTTAGATCCCCTGATTTTTTATCCATTCTGCCGCCATTTGCAGTCCAATTGATTTTGCACTACTTCTGCCCCTATTTGCAGACCCCTGATTTTGAGCCCACTCCACCCTTCATTGTAGACCACCTGATTTTGAACCCATTCTTTCACTTTTGTAGACCAACTGATTCTACCCAAAGGCCCTGTTTTTGGACCCCTTCTCTTTCGACACATCCTCTCTTGGTCGCCTGATAACCTCCCACAGCTTCAAATACCATCTCCATGCTGATGATACCCAAATATATCTTTCTGCTCCTCACCTCATTCCTTCAGTCTCCTCTCGCATTACTGACATACTAACTGACATATTAGCATGGATGTCGCAGCACTTCCTTAAACTAAATCTCTAAAACTGAAATTATAATACCCCCCCCCTCCCCTCCCCGTACACTCCTCCATGACTTTTCCATCAAGATCAATAATGCAACAATCAGTCACTCACCCCGGGGTGCTAGGTGTAATCCTGGCCTTTGACCTATCCTTTCGGCCCCAAAGCCAATTGTCAAAAGCTTGCAGACTTCACCTCAGTAACATTTCTACAATTCACCCTTTTTTAATGAATGAAACCATCAAGCTACTCATTCCGTGCCAATTCTGCCCCTATTGCAGTCCCCCTGACAGAATTGGCACGGAATCAGGGGGACTGCAATAGGGGCAGAATTGGCATGGAATCAGGGGGACTGCAAAAGGGTCAGAATTGGTACGGAATCAATCAGGGGGACTGCAATAGGGGCAGAATTGGCACGGAATCAGGGGGACTGCAATAGGGGCAGAATTGGCACGGAATCAGGGGACTGCAATAGGGGCAGAATTGGCACGAAATCAGGGGGACTGCAAAAGGGTCAGAATTGGCACGGAATAGGGGCAGAATTGGCACGGAATCAGGGGGACTGCAATAGGGGCAGAATTGGCACGGAATCAGGGGGACTACAATAGGGGCAGAATTGGCACGGAATCAGGGGGACTGCAATAGGGGCAGAATTGGCACGGAATCAGGGGGACTGCAATAGGGGCAGAATTGGCACGAAGTCAGGGGGACTGCAATAGGGGCAGAATTGGCACGGAATCAGGGGGACTGCAATAGGGGAATTGGCAGAATTGGACTACGGAATCACGGGGGGACTGCAATAGGGGCAGAATTGGCACGGAATCAGGGGGACTGCAATAGGGGCAGAATTGGCACGGAATCAGGGGGACTGCAATAGGGGCAGAATTGGCACGGAATCAGGGGGACTACAATAGGGGCAGAATTGGCACGGAATCAGGGGGACTACAATAGGGGCAGAATTGGCACGGAATCAGGGGGACTGCAATAGGGGCAGAATTGGCACGGAATCAGGGGGACTGCAATAGGGGCAGAATTGGCACGGAATCAGGGGGACTGCAAAAGGGCAGAATTGGTTGGCACGGAATCAGGGGGACTGCAAAAGGGGCAGAATTGGCACGGAATCAGGGGGACTACAATAGGGGCAGAATTGGCACGGAATCAGGGGGACTGCAAAGGGCAGAATTGGCACGGAATCAGGGGGACTGCAATAGGGGCAGAATTGGCACGGAATCAGGGGGACTGCAATAGGGGCAGAATTGGCACGGAATCAGGAGGACTGCAATAGGGGCAGAATTGGCACGGAATCAGGGGGACTGCAATAGGGGCAGAATTGGCACGGAATCAGGGGGACTGCAATAGGGGCAGAATTGGCACGGAATCAGGAGGGGGACTGCAATAGGGGCAGAATTGGCACGGAATCAGGGGGACTGCAATAGGGGCAGAATTGGCACGGAATCAGGGGGACTACAATAGGGGCAGAATTGGCACGGAATCAGGGGGACTGCAATAGGGGCAGAATTGGCACAGAATCAGGGGGACTGCAATAGGGGCAGAATTGGCACAGATTTTGTACCCATTCTGCCCCTTTTGCAGCCCCCCTGATTGCACCCCCGTCATTTCCCCCTGTATCTCTCTGGCTGTTGTCCTGGCAGCTGCATAGTGAATGAACACAACAGCGACTGATTATAGGAGAAACGATCGGAAAGGATTTACCAACACAGGCCGGCCTATAGAACCCGACAGCGCTACATGTAACCCCCTCATTGATCCGACTCTGAAGGAAAAGCGATTTCCGAGGTTCCTGCGGTCTAATCTCAAACTTGTTTTCCTGCAAGAATCAAAATGAATTTCCCACACCTGGTAATGAAATGCAGGGAACACATTACAAGGCTCCCCGTCCGCCCGCACAAAAATGTCAGCATGTTAACAGCGGCGGCGGGTTAGTGTTGTGCATACCAAAGGAGGCCAATGCAAACAATAGGCTAATGCCGGGCTGGAAATACAAGACTCTCAATCACCTACACGGCTCTCCAGCTGGCACAAACCACTAATGCAATCGGCATGTGAATCATTCTGCCGAGGGACAAAGGAAAACATCCGGAACAGATATGAAGATATTAACCGACAGAAGGAAAATATCCGGGATGGAGAGAATGACACGGCGCAGGAAAAACTCAGCGCTTTCCATGTCCTCCAGCCGGGAAAGGAGGCGGAGCTCTGTATGACTGGTGCACATTGTGAGGATCTCACAGTGTGCGGGAAATCAGAGGAAGTTGTTTTTTAGTCCCGGAGAGGAGCTGGCACACCTGTGCAAGACTGAAGGGGAGGAGCAAGGACACCTGTGCAAGACTGGAGGGGGGGAGGAGCCAGTACACCTGTGCAAGACTGGAGGGGAGGAGCGACACCTGTGCAAGACTGGAGGGGAGGAGCCGGTATAACCTGTGCAAGACTGGAGGGGAGGAGCAAGGACACCTGTGCAAGACTGGAGGAGAGGAGCTGGCACACTGTGCAAGACTGAAGGGGAGGAGCAAGGACACCTGTGCAAGACTGGAGGGGAGGAGCCGGTACACCTGTGCAAGACTGAAGGGGAGGAGCAAGGACACCTGTGCAAGACTGGAGGGGAGGAGCCAGTACACCTGTGCTAGACTGGAGGGGAGGAGCCGAGTACACCCTGGGGGAGCCGGTACACCTGTGCAAGACTGGAGGGGGGAGGAGCCGGTACACCTGTGCAGGACTGAAGGGGAGGAGCCGGTACACCTGTGCAAGACTGAAGGGGAGGAGCCGTACGCCTGTGCAAGACTGAAGGGGAGGAGCCGCTACAACTGTGAAAGCAGATACAAAACCCAAATTGGATGGCGTTTTGTTTGTGCCGTGCTCTGTGTATCATAACCGATTGCCTGTTTTCACCCTTTTTCATCTTATTTCCTCTCTCGGTGCTCTCCTGCACCCTCTTTCAGCCGATTCCTATCTACATGACCTCTCATCATTGCCCTGGACCAGCTTCCTACTAACAGTGAGAACACTGGACCTTTTCCTGCGCAATGTTGTCGGCGCAGCCACTTTTAGGCTCACGTGACACGGTGACAATGCAGCAGCACAAATGGGAGACGGTACCGGAGGGTTGTCACCTTATAACAGGAGATGCCTCAACACAAAACTTCATGGCAGGATCACCATGCTCCCAGCTGTACCCCTCAGTCATATTCTCACCTGTCCCCACCAGACATTCTCACCTGTACCTACTGCCAGCATTCATATTCTCACCTGCACCTAACCCCCCCCCCATTCATATTCTCACCTGCATCCCCTCAGTCATATTCTCACCTGCACCTTCCCCCCAATCCATATTCTCACCTGCGCCTAACCCCCCCCCCCCCCCATTCATATTCTCACCTGCACCCCCTGCAGTCATATTCTCACCTGTGCCTAACCTCCCCCCCCATTTCCCCCCCCCATTCATATTCTCACCTGTCCCCTCCAGTCATATTCTCAGCTGCACCCCACTCAGTCATTGCTTTACCGATATCTCCCACCCCATTCTTAGTCATATTCTCAGCTGCACCCCCTCAGTCATATTCTCACCTGTCCCCACCAGTCATATTCTCAGCTGCACCCCCTCAGTCATATTCTCACCTGTCCCCCCCAGTCATATTCTCAGCTGCACCCCTCAGTCATATTCTCAGCTGTACACCCCCTCAGTCATATTCTCACCTGTCCCCACCAGTCATATTCTCAGCTGCACCCCTTCAGTCATATTCTCAGCTGCACCCCCTCAGTCATATTCTCAGCTGCACCCCCTCAGTCATATTCTCACCTGCACCCCCTCAGTCATATTCTCACCTGCACCCCCTCAGTCATATTCTCAGCTGCACCCCCTCAGTCATATTCTCAGCTGCACCCCCTCAGTCATATTCTCACCTGCACCCCCTCAGTCATATTCTCAGCTGCACCCCCTGAGTCATATTCTCACCTGCACTCTCCTCAGTCATATTCTCAGCTGCACCCCCCTCAGTCATATTCTCACCTGCACCCCCTGAGTCATTTTACCTCATACCTGCACCCCCCCAGTCATATTCTCAGCTGCACCCCTTCAGTCATATTCTCACCTGCACCCCCTCTCAGATATATTCTCAGCTGCACCCCCTCAGTCATATTCTCACCTGCACCCCCTTCCCAGTCATATTCTCACCTGCACCCCCTCAGTCATATTCTCACCTGCACCCCCTCCCCAGTCATATTCTTACCTGCACCCACTCCTCAGTCATATTCTCAGCTGCACCCCCTTCAGTCGTATTCTCACCTGCACCCCCCCGCCCTAGTCATATTCTCACCTGTACTCCGCTGTCAGCTCCTCTTCCCTGCACCAGAAAGTGAAGCCTTGAAACAGATACAAGAGGCAACCGACCTTTATTTCATCCAGGTACTCGCTGTGCTGCTACAAGGCCACCCAACTTTTTTTTTTTATCAAAATAACATTTATTGTAGAAGAACAAAGTCCACCTGGTTTTCCAAATTTTATAGAATGATAGAATAAAACCCCCCAAAACAATAAATACAGAATAAAAACCGTGTGGGCAACGGCACACAAAAAAATTATAGAAACAGCGGTACGTGCAACGGCGTGCGGATGGTGCCGTCTTCCAGCATGACCCTGAAAAATCACATTACAAACTGTAAATATGTGAAGAATAAAAATGTTTCCTTCAATCCTAATCATCAGTAAAGAATAAATGCAAAATGGAAAAAAATGTATTATTGGAGAACAACAGAGGTCTGTAGTGTGGGGGCTGGGTGTGATGGCGGCATCAGTTATATATCACAGAGACCATGGCAGCCAAACAGTCTATTAACCTCTTGGTATCCACACAACACCCATGTATCACACGTGTCCATGGCCGGCTGAGGTTTCTGCACGCTCTGCATGCTCCCAGCGCATTGACCGGGCTGTCACTGACCGATGGTGATCGGGAGCCAGTGCGTCTGACTCCCAATCATGTGACCACTATGGCAGCCAATCACAGTGGTTATGTAATCAGACAGTCCTCCCCCTGGGACTAGGTGGGAAGGGGTTAATATTTGTCGGGTAGGGGTGCATGCGCAGGGCCACTTAACTGCCCACGACAAATCCTCCATACTTAAAGAGAGCTACCTCTACGGGTACAGCTTTCTGGATGCAAGACAGAATTCACCTTTTCTACCCAAAAACAGGTGGGGAGGGAGTTGGGGGATTTTTTTTCTTGCCTACGTAGTGTTCTGGTTATTGCTATCCCCCGGTGAGGATCACCATTGGGAAGTTCTACAAGTCCCAAAAGACCCATCTTTGGTTCAGGGGAAGAGTGACGTTGAAAGGCACGCTTAAAGATATCAAATACCATTGCCAATATCTGACCACTTTTGGAAAGCTGGACCATCAATCCCTACTTCTGGGAACACCAATTCCAGGGTCGTGTGAGTGTGGGGCCCGAGCCATGCATGTGCTTGCTCACTATATGGAGCATTCAGGCAAAAAAAGGAATTCTGCAGATTGATAATTAGGATCCCAGTACAGATGGAAACGATCAATGTCCTTACAGGTGGAAGCTAATCAAGTATAGCTCTAATAAACCAATGAAGCAGTGCCATGGTTACCCCCCTTCCCTGGAGAACATTGCCCTCCCCAGCTCTGCCCGCCTTTACAGATCTGTGCTCATGCAGCAGTCGTCTGGAGAGTAGCTGGAACATGTCTAGCAATCTGCCCACTTCCTGCCTTTACTGCCCACTTCCTGCCATTATTGCCCACTTCCTGCCTTTACTGCCCACTTCGCGCCATTATTGCCCACTTCCTGCCATTATTGCCCACTTCCTGCCTTTACTGACCGCTTTCTGTTTTATATTGCCCACTTCCAGCCTTTACTTTCCAGTTCCTGTTTTATATTGCCCACTTCCTGCCTTTACTGACCGCTTTCTGTTTTATACTGCCCACTTCCTGCCTTTACTGACCGCTTTCTGTTTTATGCTGCCCACTTCCTGCCTTTACTGACTGCTTTCTGTTTTATACTGCCCACTTCCTGCCTTTACTGTCCAGTTCCTGTTTTATACTGCCCACTTTCTGCCTTTACTGTCCAGTTCCTGTTTTATATGGCCCACTTCCTGCCTTTACTGTCCAGTTCCTGTTTTATATTGCCCACTTCCTGCCTTTACTGTCCAGTTCCTGTTTTATACGGCCCACTTCCTGCCTCTACTTTTCACTTCCTGTTTTATACAGCCCACTTCCAGCCTTTACTGTCCAGTTCCTGTTTTATACTGCCCACTTTCTGCCTTTACTGTCCAGTTCCTGTTTTATATGGCCCACTTCCTGCCTTTACTGTCCAGTTCCTGTTTTATATTGCCCACTTCCTGCCTTTACTGTCCAGTTCCTGTTTTATACGGCCCACTTCCTGCCTCTACTTTTCACTTCCTGTTTTATACAGCCCACTTCCAGCCTTTACTGTCCAGTTCCTGTTTTTATATTGCCCACTTCCTGCCTTTACTGACTGCTTTCTGTTTTATACTGCCCACTTCCTGCCTTTACTGTCCAGTTCCTGTTTTATACTGCCCACTTCCTGCCTTTACTGTCCAGTTCCTGTTTTGTACGGCCCACTTCCTGCCTTTACTGTCCAGTTCCTGTTTTATATTGCCCACTTCCTGCCTTTACTGTCCAGTTCCTGTTTTATACGGCCCACTTCCTGCCTCTACTTTTCACTTCCTGTTTTATACAGCCCACTTCCAGCCTTTACTGTCCAGTTCCTGTTTTATATTGCCCACTTCCTGCCTTTACTGACTGCTTTCTGTTTTATACTGCCCACTTCCTGCCTTTGCCGACAACGTCCTGTTTTTTTCGATCAAACACATTTTTGGCCAGTGTATGTGGTGATCGTTCAGAAATGACATTTGAGTCGAATGTTAACCACTTTACCCCCCTTAATGACCACGCCTCTTTTTGCTACTCGACGCTGCACTAATTCAACTGCTAATTGCGCGGTCATGCAACGCTGCACCCAAACGAAATGTACGTCTTTTTTTCCCACACAAATAAAGCTTTCTTTCTGTTGTATTTGATCACCTGTGCGCTTTTTATTTTTCGTGCTATAAACGAACAAAAAAACCCAGAAAATTATGAAGAAAAACAAATATTTTTTTACCTTCGGCTATAAAAAAAATATATAGTAATCTCAAAGTTAGGTATAATTTTAGGCCAAAATGTATTCTGCTCCATGTTTTTGGTAAAAAAAAAAATCCAAATAAATGTATTATGATTGCTTTGTGTGAAAGTTATAGCGTCTACAAACTATGGGATAGATACTGCAATTTACTGCACTAGTTTAACTGACCATTGCGCGGTCATGCGAGACTCCCTTATAGAGGGAAAGCGGCGGGCATTCTGACACTGGGGGAGAACTGACTTGGTGTCACTGACATCCTCAGTGACACCAATACAGTGATCAGAAAAAAAGCACTGACACTGTACTAACCCATATGGAAGAAAAATATATTTGAAATGCTACAATTTTGGCCATATTCAATATATTTCAAAATATATTTATATATATATAAATATATATATATAAAAAAAAAAAAAAAAAAAAAAAAAAAAAAATATATATATATATATATATATATACAGTTGTGTTCAGTCAGACATCACTAACCGGATCAATCACTGTTTTTGGTGGAAATGATATTTCTACATGGCAAATAATTTCCTAGCAGGTGTAGTAGAGTCATAGAAATCCAACAGACCCGACAGTCATGACATGCATGCTGCTGATTCTGTGTCATTGAATCACTCATTGAAAGGGGCGTGTTCACAATAATAGCCGTGTGGAGTTCTATTAGTGAGGTCATTCATTCTTTGAAAAACAGGTGGCAATTATTGCCCTTATTTAAGGAAGGAAGGCAGCAAATGTTGGACATGCTGGTTACAGTGCATATCTCTATGAAATTCTGAGGAAAATGGGTCGTTCCAGACATTGTTCAGAAGAACAGCGTACCTTGATTAAAAAGTTGATTGGAGAGGGGAAAACATATAAAGAAGTGCAGAAAATGATCGGCTGCTCAGCTAAAATGATGGCAAATACTTTAAAATGGCAACCAAAACCTGAAAGACGTGGAAGAAAGCGAAAAACCACCATTGGAATGGATAGAATAGCCAAAATGGCGCGGACTCAGCCAACAATCAGCTCCAGGAAGATGAAAGAAGGTGTGACGTTCCCTGTGAGGACTGTTACAATTAGAAGACGCCTATGTGAAGCCAAGCTATCTGCAAGAAGTCCCCGCAAAGTCCCACTGTTGGGAAAAAGACGTGTGCTGAAGAGGATACAATCTGCCAAAGAGCACATTGACCGGCCTAAAGAGAAATGGCCCAACATTTTGTGGACTGATGAAAGTAAGATTGTTCTTTTTGGGTCTAGTGGGCGGAGACAGTTTGTCAGACGACCCCCAAACACTGAATTCAAGCCACAGTATACTGTGAAGACCGTGAAGCATGGTGGTGCAAGCATCATGATATGGGGATGTTTCTCATACTACGGTGTTGGGCCTATTTATCGCATACCAGGGATCATGGATCAGTTTGAATCCATCAGAATACTTGAAGAGGTCATGCTGCCTTATGCTGAAGAGGAAATGCCCTTGAAATGGGGGTTCCAACAAGACAACGACCCCAAACACACCAGTAAACGTGCAACATCTTGGTTCCAGACCAACAAGATGGACGTTATGGAGTGGCCAGCCCAATCCCCGGATCTTCATCCAATAGAAAACTTGTGGGGTGACATCAAAAATGCTGTTTCTGAGGCAAAACCAAGAAATAGAGAAGAACTGTGGAATGTGGTCCAATCATCCTGGGCTGGAATACCTGATCACAGGGGCCAGAAGTTGGGTGACTCCATGCAACACAGATGTACAGCAGTTCTCAGAAACAGTGCGACTACAACCAAATATTCATGAAGTCATTCAAAGGAAAGCAAAATCTTCAAACATTTCTCAGTTTATATAGTGAATGTTTGAGTTTGTAAAGAAGAATACAAACACTGCGACTTTTTTGAAATATATATATATATATAGATATATATATATAGATATATAGAGATACTGCATGTATAAAAAAAAATCTGAGAATATAGCTCAGCAGATATGTGTTTTTAATGGCACGCAAATATGCGGCCGCTCGGCGTCAAGGGGTTAAATATATTCTTCAGATTTTTAACATATAAAAAAGTAATTTTAACATATATTTGTAAACGCATTCCAAAAATGTAGATTTGAATTTTTAAAGACATACAGTATATTTGAAAGGTATTTAAAAAAATATTTTTCATATATTTTGTCATAAAAACGCATTTCAACATACTATATTTATATACATATTTATTGAAATATATTTTGAAATATATTGAATATGACCAAAATTGTAGTATTTCAAATATTTTTTCTTCCATGTGGGAATGGCACTGGGCAGGAAGGGGTTAACATTTGGGGGCAGTCAAAGGGATAACTGTGTGATGGGAGTGTTTTAGGGGGGGGGGGTGCTTCACTGTAAAGCACACTGTTTGGGATGGCTGTGCTAAGCCATCCAGAGCAGTGTGCCCAAACTGACAGGGAGGAGGGCTGTTGGTAAGCAAAACAGCCCTCCTCCGTCGGTGATTGCGGGTAATCACTGGCCGGGGCCAGATGATTGACACTCGGGGCCGCGATTGGTGGTGCAGGTAGGGCGGTCACGCCCCCTACCCAGAAATGCAGAATCACGTAGCAGCAGTAAATGTACTGTGGGTGGGATCTCAGCACAGGGACGGTGGAACCCTTCATAACGGGCACATTGCAGGGCGCATGTCTAAGCAAAGCAGACACACATTCAGGAGGTTATTTTCCTCCTCCCGGCACGGCCTCATCTACAGGTAGAGAGGAGCTGGGGCTCCCTTCAAACTCATCTCTAGCTGAACTCCAACCCCACGTTTTTTTTCTCCTCCGGTGAGCTACAGGACGGGTCATCCTCACCCTGCAGCTCACTGGGGCACAGAATAATCCCAGGCTCAGAGAGTTTGCCTAACCTCCATAGTGGTCTGATTATGTCAGTATTTCTGTGCTCAAAGCGGTACATTTTTTTGCATTGAAATATGTATTATTTTTTATTGTCGGCCTGTAATTTTTAGGAATAACTCACTGAAATCTGTCTGAACAAGAGTCTAGAAAACATCCCGGGGAGGATAAAATTTGAAACACAAAATCATAAATTATAATTTAATAAATAATCATAAAAAATAATAATATAATAATAATAAATGTAATTCAATAATATAATCAAACCAAAAACACTGAAATGTGAAATAGAGCGCCAAGTTCGCACATCGCTGAGCTCAGTCGCAGAATCGTTTTCAGTGTCTGATGAGGAATTTCCCCCACCAATCATTATCACTCAATTCTGCAAGTGGTTCTGATTTACTATCGCTGTTCTCTAGCCGGTCTAAAACCGCGTCTGACCTAAAGGGACGCTTTTTGGACGCCATGGACGTTTCTCAGTTTCCAGGCAGAAAGGGCGGTAAAAGTGCAGGCAGGGCGCCGGACAAAGCACTCGGGACACAATGTATGTGAAATGGTTTGATACAGGAATGTTATACTATGTGATTTTAGTGTATTTAGTGAATGTCACTTTTTGTCATTTTCAAATTTCCCGCCAGTTCCGTCCCCCGTACGTCCCGACGTCGCAGGGAACGGAACCCGGAAGACAGATGCCGGCATCAGCCGGAGGACATTGCCGGGGACACTGCAGGGGGGACATCGCGGGAGCGCAGGACAAGGTAAGTGAGGGATTCCTAGATTGTAAGCTCCCAGGATCAGGACCCTCCTATCCCTCTTGTATTGAACTGTATTGTTGCTGTATTGTCTCCCGTTATATTGTAAAGCGCTGAGCAAACTGGCGCCATAAATCCTGTATAATAATAATAATAATAATATAAATCCTGTATAATAATAATAATATAAAATCCTGTAATAATTATAATAATATAAATCCTGTATAATAATATAAATCCTGTATAATAATAATAATAATATAAATCCTGTATAATAATAATAATAATATAAATCCTGTATAATAATAATAAATAATAATAATAATATAAATCCTGTATAATAAATAAATCCTGTATTAATAATAATATAAATCCTGTATAATAATAATATAAATCCTGTATAATAATAATAATAATATAAATCCTGTATAATAATAATAATATAAATCCTGTATAATAATATAATAATATAAATCCTGTATAATAATATAAATATATAATAATATTATAGCAATATAAATCCTGTATAATAATAATAATATAAATCCTGTATAATAATAATAATAATAATAATATAAATCCTGTATATAATAATAATAATATAAATCCTGTATAATAATAATAATATAAATCCTGTATAATAATAATAATATAAATCCTAATAATAATAATATAAATCCTGTATAATAATAATTAAATCCTGTATAATAATAATAATATAAATCCTGTATAATAATAATTAGTAATATAAATCCTGTATAATAATATTAATATAAATCCTGTATAATAATAATAATAATAATAATCTGTATAATATAAATATTATATATAAATCCTGTATAATAATAATAATATAATAAAAATCATAATAATAATAATATAAATCCTGTATAATAATAATAATATAAATCATGTATAATAATAATAATATAAATCCTGTATAATAATAATAATATAAATCCTGTATAATAATAATAGTAATATAAATCCTGTATAATAATATTAATATAAATCCTGTATAATAATAATAATAATATAAATCCTGTATAATAATATTAATATAAATCCTGTATAATAATAATAGTAATATAAATCCTGTATAATAATATTAATATAAAGCCTGTATAATAATAAATAATATAAATCCTGTATAATAATATTAATATAAAGCCTGTATAATAATAATAGTAAATATAAATCCTGTATAATAAATTAATATAAATCCTGTATAAATAATAATAATAATAATAATCATAATAATAATATAAATCCTGTATAATAAATAATAATAATAGTAATAAAAATCCTGTATAATAATAATAATAGTAATATAAATCCTGTATAATAATAATATAAATCCTGTATAATAATAATAATCCCTGAGCAACGCTGCAAGGTATTCCCGTGTAGCTCAGGGGGGGTTACCACTTTTGGTACTAGAAGTTAACCCCGAGCTACACTTGGGAACACCACCAGGGCGGCTAGAGAAGAATTGGAGGACACCCAAACTCCTGTCTAATGGTCATTGATACAGACATCCACTAGGGGGAGACTTTACACATCCGATTATGAATTCAAATGAAGAAACAGCAGAAAAAAGCGAAAACCCCCTTTGACATAAAGGTTACAATAATACATCGACATGTGACTGTAGCGCCCTCTTTAGGCTCCTCCACAGCGCTCCTACCGCCGCCAATATACGATCGGTCTAATGTGACTTTGGAGGGTTAGATCTGGACGTGTCCTTCAATATATTAGGTAGAAAATAAAAAAATATATAATTTTTTTATTTTTTGGATTGCCCGTAATAACTGCAAGGCACACTCGGCGTTATTTTCAGCGAGGGGGTGCGCAGAAAATTGTGTCCAGGCCGCACGCGGCACACCGTCGCCAATATACGATCGATCTAATGTGATTTTTGAGGGATAGATCTGGACACGTCCTCAGCCGTAGCTTCAATATATTAGGTAGAAAATAAAAAAAATTATTTTTTTTTTTTTTGGATTGCCTGGAATAACTGCAAGGCACATTTTCAGGTTATGACGCATGCAGCTGCTGGCAATGGGGTGCTCGGAAAATTGTGTCCAGGCCGCACGCGGCACGCCATAGGCAGACGGAGGAGCGCGGTTCTCAGTTTGGTCACGTCTGAATCATGCCTGTTCTCTGGGAGGCCAGCCTGAGAGCTATATTAGATAGACACACACTGATCGCTCCGCCGCTGATTCCGCAAACAAACCGCCTTTTAACTCTGCTGGTCCAATTTTCCGTTGCGGTTTCAATTTCGCCGGCTTCTTAAGTGCGCCGCTAGTGGGTGGCTCTCTCAATCTAAAGTCACCTTCCAGCTCGGGGGATAGAAAAAAAGAGAAAAAAAAAAGATACGGAATCACGGAGACGAGGCTGTGCCAGGAGGAGGGAAATAACCTCGGCAAAAGTCCTGAATGAAATAGGCTGCCTGGAAACACAACAATAAAACACATCGTGGGTGCGGGCGAGGGAGAGGCGGCGCTGCTCGAGGCTTCGTGTCAGATGGGAATATAGGGGATGTCTGCTCTGCTTAGAGAGAAAAATTGGTTAATGTCGGCTGCGGCATCACAAAGGCAGAGGAGTGCGGTCCACCCCTGAAAATGGAAGATTGGATCTGTCATGCAACTTACCGAAACCACCCACACAAGGGGTGAACTGAGTGGTCCCTAGAGGGTCCCTGTACTATGTTCCTGGGTCTGTACACCTTCTGTACCCATTATGGGGGTTCCCACCATCCCTGTGCTGAGTTCCCGGGTCTGTACACCCGCTGTGCCCATTATGAGGGGTTCCCACCATCCCTGTGCTGAGTTCCCGGGTCTGTACACCCGCTGTGCCCATTATGACGGGTTCCTGCCATCCTTGTGCTGAGTTCCTGGATCTGTACAACTGCTGTGTACATTATGAGGGGTTCCCACCATCCCTGTGCTGAGTTCCCGGGTCTGTACACCCGCTGTGCCCATTATGAGGGGTTTCCGCCATTCCTGTGCTGAATTCCCGGGTCTGTACACCCGCTGTGCCCATTATGAGGGGTTTCCGCCATTCCTGTGCTGAATTCCCGGGTCTGTACACCCGCTGTGCCCATTATGAGGGGTTTCCGCCATTCCTGTGCTGAATTCCCGGGTCTGTACACCCACTGTGTCCATTATGAGGGGTTCCAACCAACCCTGTGCTGAGTTCCTGGGTTTTTAAAGATAAGCACAGGAGAACCTCCCAAATGCCCAGAATGCACTGAAAAGTGGTAAATTATTAACTGTTTCAGAGAAATACAGAGAGTAGAAGCAGAGACAGCAGTATGTGTTGAGATTAGCTTAGGCGTGAGTTGCTCATTAACATTTCTTTTGTTTCCAAGGGTGGGAAAGGTGTCTGGTGGAGGGAGTCATTAAGGCCACCTGGCAGGGGGTCTTCATGAGGAATTTGAGGTGTGAATGGTCATTAACATATCTTTTGTTTCCAAGGGTGGGAGAGGTCTGAGGTGTGAATGGTCATTAACATATCTTTTGTTTCCAAGGGTGTGGGAGAGGTCTGAGGTGTGAATGGTCATTAACGTATCTTTTGTTTCCAAAGGTTGGATAGGTCTGAGGTGTGAATTGGTCATTAACATATCTTTTGTTTCCAAGGGTGGGAGAGGTCTGAGGTGTGAATTGTTCATTAACAGATCTTTTGTTTCCAAGGGTGGGAGAGGTCTGAGGTGTGAATGGTCATTAACATATCTTTTGTTTCCCAAGGGTGGGAGAGGTCTGAGGTGTGAATTGTTCATTAACATATCTTTTGTTTCCAAGGGTGGGGGAGGTCTGAGGTGTGAATTGGTCATTAACATATCTTTTGTTCCAAGGGTGGGAGAGGTCTGAGGTGTGAATGGTCATTAACATATCTTTTGTTTCCAAGGGTGGAGAGGTCTGAGGTGTGAAATTGTTCATTAACATATCTTTTGTTTCCAAGGGTGGGGGAGGTCTGAGGTGTGAATTGGTCATTAACATATCTGTTGTTGCCAAGGGTGGGAGAGGTCTGAGGTGTGAATGGTCATTCATATTTATTTTGTTTCCAAGGGTGGGAAAGGTGTCTGGTGGAGGGAGTCATTAAGGCCACCTGGCAGGGGGTCTTCATGAGGAATTTGAGGTGTGAATGGTCATTAACATATCTTTTGTTTCCAAGGGTGGGAGAGGTCTGAGGTGTGAATTGGTCATTACAATGTGTGACCAGTTTGGTAGGAACATCCTGTGTTCAGTGTTTTGTCCATCTGAGCACCTTGAAAACTCTTTGCATGCATTTTTCATGATGAAAAAAGGCTCTGGACAGCATCGGGAAGTAGAAGAGTTAAAAAAAAATTTAAACCGCAAACGCTTTTAAATGCGTTTACAAGCGTTTTGGGTTTTAAACATTGATAAAATCGATGTCTGAACGCAAGTTTGTTGCATACAAAAAAAAGGACTGTAAACTCAACTGCCTGTAAAGGACTGTAAAGGAAGATGTGTACACGGACACATAGGAGAACATTAGGGAGAGTCCAGGTACTGCACAGCTCTTGAATATCAGTTTATCAGCTGCAGTGTACATGAGCCCTAATGCTGGCCATAGACAGTTTGAAAATCGGCCAATTTTCGCACTGTTAGTGGGTTAATCGGTCGGTTGGTTTTCGGGTTTTTTGCACTTTTAGATTATCGGTCATGTTGGAAAATTTGCAGAAAACGGCCAACTTTCGCAGCAATGATGGCCAAATCGGACGATAGTTTTAACTAAAAAAATTTGTCCATGAGCCGTAACCTGCAAGGAACAGAAGTTCGGCTGTTATATGGGGTGAACTTTATGATTTAGTCGGCCGATTTTTGTAATCGGTGGTAGCGTCGGCTTAACGCACAACCGATTTTTCATTTATCGTTCGAAAAATCGGCCGATGTTCCACCCATCCATGGCCTGCATAAGTATCTGGATTTTAACTTTTTGAAAAAAATTTTGTTTTCTGATCTCCAAAGCCAGAAAAAAAAACCCCTGGCATTGAGGGAACTGAATCCAGCGCCCCATGCATGCAAAGGCCAGTGATCCGCCAGACTTCTGTAGACCGCGGCCCGGCTGCGCGAGATTCAGCGGCGAAGAGGTTAGCGGCGTTCAGACAAACTGAGAATCCTAAACAATTAGTTATTCCTCTCGCCTCTCCCAGTTGGCTGGAGAAGGGCGAGCGCAACTCATATTACAAATTGCTCTTTTGAAGATCAAAGCCGAGTGGAATTTGTCTGTATGCGCTGCAGATGAGATTGTAATTTAATGAATTTTTTTAGTTTTTTTTTTTTTTTTTTTCTTCTCGTCTCTCTTTCTCCTCTCACCCTGGGCTTGGCAGCGTTCCCACGGTGGGCTCCGGGGTAAAGATGCATGGACGACGGAGCACGAAAAACAGGGAGGTGTGAAGAAAGCGGGGGGCGGCGAGGGGCTCGGTGACTCCGTCTCTCCTGAGCGCTCGGCTCTGCCATTAATTGGGCACCTCATTAAAAAGTAATGAAAATGACATCTTCTGTTCTCGAAGCTTCAGGCGCCGAACGCTACAAAGGGGCCGAGCACAATTCACAACACGTTCGATTTATATAGCGAGGGGCTCTTAAGCATTATTTATGAGATGTGATTTCCTGTCCGTGCTTAATAACCTGTTATGGGGGGGAGCGGCGCCCCTCAGCGCTGTTTTGCGGAAAACACGTGCACGCCTGTTAAAAAAAAAAAAAATAATAAAAAAATGGAGTTCTCAGTTCTTTTCCCTCCTTGTCGCTCGCTGTTACTGTTGTCACTCTACGGCTCATTAGGCCTGAGATCTGTGGCGAGCGACAATCCCGCTGTCATCACATATAGGCCGGCAGGGTAACGAGCTCTGGGCGCAGAGATAATTCCCCCCCCCCCCCCCCAAGAAGCAGCCAGTGCAGGCGCAGCAGAATGGAGAGTGGCGGGAGGCCGGGGCTGTAACGTGTCAGTGCAGGGCTCGGGAGTCCAAGGAAGATGCTGAATCGCACGTGTTGCGGCCTTTCCTAACACGTGCACTGGTTATATACATACGTAAAGCACAGGGGCGGACTGACAACCTGTGGGGCCCCCGGGCAATAGGGGATTATGGGGCCCGTGTCCTTGCCCAAATTCAAAAAAGCCTATGAAAAAGGTACCAGGGGCATCTCATGGGGCCCCCTACGGACCCTGGGCCCTCGGGCAGTGCCCGAGTTTCCAAATGGTCAGTCCGCCCCTGGTAAAGCATGACTACACTCTGTACTTACCTCTGCTCCATGATGAGGGAGATGAGTCAAGCCAGGGGCAGGATCATCATGGAGCACTGGAAAGACTCGTACGCCGCTACGGTCTATAGTAGAGAGAGAGAGACTACCATATCCTGGGGCCTTCGTACTAAGCTGCCCCCTTCTTGAGGTGACAGGATGCATTCCCCAGTCCATGGAAGGGTTGTCCTCAGCGAGGTTGATCCCTGGCTATGGAGAAGTTGGGGAAAAGTCTTCCTGTTTCTGTCCAAATATGGAAGTTTGAATGGTATGAAAAATGTTCTATGACAGTAGTGTAATGATTGCTGGTATGGAGTATGTAACGAACACCACAGCATTCAGAGTGGAAAGGTGCCAAATACGTGAAGTACTGCACATGCACAGCATACAGAATGATGTAGGTTGAAGTAGGCCACACCCAGCAAAACACGGAGAATAGAATTGATCTGGGAAATGTAACATACACAACCAAAATGGACACACTTTGGGCAACATCATAGCAGACGTGAAGCTCGGTGTCTGAAGCACTTCCTGGGTTCTAGTGAAAAGTATACGTTATGGCGTCGCTCCAAGCTGTAGCTGGAAGGAAAAAGATCACCCCATTGGCAAGTGAGACGAGGGGAGCGTGAGTCCGAGCGATTCCAGTGTGAGCCAATACAAGTGAAGAGATGGACACTTGCTCAACCGACCCCAGGAGTCCAATGTTAAGGATGGCCTCAGCTGCTGTTCTGGCCACTCCCCCCACTGATGCGTCTCGCCCTGCCCGGGCGTGGCCAGAACTGGGGGGGGGGGCTGAGGTCATTAATTAACATTGGACTTCTGAGGCCGGTTGAGCAGCGTCCATCTCTTCACCTCCTGGATTCTCTTTTAAACAATACATATTGTAAGGCCAAAGGTTAGTGGACATCTGGTCATCACATATAATATGTGAACAAAAATATGTAGACACTTAGGGGTGTATTTACTAAAGCTGGTTCACTCCAAATCTGGTGCACCTGTGCATGGGAGCCAATCAGCTTCCAACCCCAGCTTGTTCAATGAAGCTTTAGCAATAAAACCTGGAAGCTGATTGGTTTCTATGCAAAAGTGCACCAGATTCTGTGTGAACCAGCTTTAGTAAATAAACCCCTTAATGAGTTCAGGTGTCTCCAGTGAAGGGTTCTCGTTATACTACATCATACAAAGACATTGCAGAGCAGTCTTTCTCAGCCTTTTCAACACACAGGAACCCTTGAAATAACTTTCCGGTCTCAGGGAACCCCTGCTAAAGAGGACTATATCTACATTAGTGTGATGGTCAGTGAGAAGAATGCTCCTTACACTTGTGGTCATTGGAAGAATTACCCCCTTACAGATAGCTAAAAGGATCAATGGTGTCTGAGGGAACATATCTAAGAGGCAGAAATTGCTCATTGCTCAAGGAATCCTTAACAACCTCTGGGTAGAACCCTAGTTAAGAAACCCTGTTGTAGACAATTCCAACTTTGTGGTAACAGTTTGGTGAAGACCCTCTTCTGTTCCACCATGACTGTGCCCCTGTGTACAAAGCCAGCTCCATAAACACATGGTTTGACCAGTTTGGTGTGGAGGAACTCGATTGTCCTGTACAGAACCGTGACCTCAACCCTACTGATCACCTTTAGGATGAATTAGGACGTTAATGGTGAGCCAGGTCTTCTCATCCAACATCAGTACCTGACCTCACAAATGGGCGCAAATTCCCCCAGACTCCCTCTAAAATCTTGCGGAAAGACCCTTTACCATTCATGGAGTAGGTTTTAGGCTTCCAATATATAGAGACAGTTCAAGTGGAGTGGTGGTAGCTGCCTCTCAGTCGGCTTCATCAGAAAAGTAGGGGAAAGCTTATAGAGCATGCCATGTGTCAGCATACATACATCCCATGCAAGACTGCAATGGATATTACCTACTGCTTGTGTTACAAGCATCTTGGTAGTTTATTGATGATACAGGAAACTGTCACTCAGAAAGATTGCCACAGTAATTCAGAGAACTAGATGGTCCTCATTTGTATGTCAATGAGAGCACCTGACAACTCAGCATCCACTTCCATTTGAATATCTAGACAAAAGGGATAGCTAGTATGAAGAGTCTGAGCTCAAACCCACTGACAATGGATCACAGATCGTATCCAGCTTGAGTATCGCCTCATGATTAAAGGAAAATTCCAGGTATGGCTCCTCACCTTGTCCAATCAGAGAATACTTGCATTCACTAAGAAAATGCAAAGGGATCTCTGAATGGCGCCTGTGCTCAGTGGCCGGCCTCCTGGGTTCAGATTGCAGCAGGGAAGCCACTTGGCACAGGACTCGAAATAGTGGAGAACACTTGAGTAGAGGGTTTTTTACTACAGTGATTTACAGCTTCTAGAACAGCCTTTTAATTGCTGAGGAACCCTTGAAATAATCTTCAGGTCAGTGGGACAATTGCCCTTTATATTGGTGACTCAAAGGAAGAATGGCTTAACCCCTTGGCACCGGGGTCTGCCG